GTCCAATATATCGCCATCAATGTTTCGGAGGAATCTACTGCCTCCATCTTCCTACTATGAAGACAAGAGTAAGCAGTACCCTCCGAAACACAGTGTCACATTCAGGAAGAACGTTCTGCACCATCACAACCCGTGTAATTGTTAATGAGCAGTCAGTACTTCGTAGGTAATCTGTAGATATGTTTTGTTCTATCTTCATATATTTTACATACCTTCCTCAATAGTTATCACCAGGGCCCGGATTTTGATTACATGTCATCTTGTTTTCCTTGTATCCTATGCGATGCTCTTAAATACAGTAAAACTTGGTTATAGCAACATCGGTTTCTGCGGCACCTTGTCTATTGCGTCAAATATTCAATGGTACGAAATAATTCCTCATAAAGCAACTGTTTTTATACCTTGCTTAGTACGACATGCACAAATGCATCAACCTCGTATGTAACGTCATTTTCATTCCTGAATTTCTCTGATATGGACATTGAACGTAATTTAGAAAGTGTGTATTGGGCAAGTAACAGGAAACAGATGAAGATAACTGATTACTGTACTCGTATCTAGGTACAGTAAGGCACAACAATTGATGTAATCTACTGTAATTTGGTGAGTAGGCCTACCTTTAATATACAGTATTAGTGCGGTGTGTATTGTCAGTGAAAAGCGCTGTAATATGTCTTTGATATTACACATTTGGGCAATNTCATTTTTGGGGTAATTTTTGGGGAAATTTTTGGACTTTTAAGGGTATTTATTGTCATTTTTGGCCATTTTTGGGAATTTTTCTTCATATGTTTTCTGAAATGTGAATAACATGGAAGCGAAGTGTTCTTTCTTTTCTCCTTTAGGTCATTTTTTCTGTATTTTTTCGGTCATTTTTTAATATTTTTAGGTCATCAAAATCCGAGCCCTGCATATTACATTTTTGGGTCATACACGTATGAGGTAATTTTTCTGGATTTTTCGGTCATTTTATAGGTCTTTTTTTAATATTTTCAGGTCATCAAAATCCGGGCCCTGCATATTACATTTTTGGGTCATATTTTAGGTCATTTTTCTGGATTTTTTCGGTCATTTTTAAAATATTTTCAGGTCATCAAAATCCGGGCTCTGGTTATCACCGTCAAATAGAAACCTAAATGTAGATTTCTAGTGGTCGGCTATTTTACATAAGCAACTAAGTCCACGCAAGTGAGTCCTTCTAGAGAAGCTAATATTTGCTCAGCTACTCTAGAAATTGTGATCTTTTATGGAACCCGAAGGTTCTGCTAAGAGACAGCTTCTAGATTCTTGTTCTTAGTCAGATGAATCCAATCCCCAAACCCCCAATTCTATTTCTATTATATCTTTTTGTTCTTATTCTCACACCTCTATTCACAGTACGCTACAAGGTAGCGTAGATGGTTGAGGTACTATGCTACAAGCCGGAAGGACGCGGTTTCGATTCCCGACGAGGTCATTGGACTTTTCATTGGACCTAATCCTTCCAGCCGCACTATGGCCCTGGGGTCGACTCAGCCTCTAACACAAATGAGTACCAGGAATCTTCCTGAAGGGGGGGGGGGTAAAGAGCGGCCAGTGCGTAAGGCTGACAACCTCGCCACCATCTGTGAGCCGATTGTCAGGAGAATGCGGGAACCTCGACGTCTCGGAATCCTATGGGCCTCCACGGCCTGTTACAGGGATAGCTTTACCTTACCTTACCTTACCTATCTCTTTCGTCCTTCCTTCTGTACTACGAATACTGCGAACGTATGATTCATGAATATATGCTTCGAAGAGGAATAGCTGTCAGTATACAGACGGGCTACGAATTAGATTTCGACTTCTGACAGGGCCAACTAAATTCTCTCCTTTCGACAACGTCCGGACCGGTTTTGCAGCTCTTCCTGCCTCACATCCAATGGATACGAGGGGTTCTCTTTCCTGGGGGTGAGGCTGACCTCTCACCTCCGCCTAGTGCCGAGGTTAAGCGGGCATCCCACACGTCTTCACGACACGGTACTGAGTTAATTAAGTTCGATGTGCGATATCTGATGTAGTGATAAGCTAGCAATACTTGCGTGTCTGCAAATTGCGTATGGTAGAGAGTTGCTGTTTCTAAAGGTGATATCATGATTGCATGAATGCTCTGTAAACACAATCTTCATTTTTTTCTGAACACTATTTGTCAGGAGGATCTGCAAAGCGTATCTTTTGATAATGGATATTGTTTGTTATGTATTGTTTCAAAGTTATTTCGGCCATCATAAAACAAATACTAACGTCCCAGTGTTTTCCCTTCAGCGTTGCTGTTGGAGAGCGTTTCTTGTGTTCGGCTCCAAGGACACGTCTAGGGATAATGTCTGTACTTGTGCACGCAAGCAGAATCTGCTGGCAGTACTGGAATGCTGTTCCCATAGAAACCGTGCCATTTAGTGTGCCGAAAGTGAGACTGTTAAACGACAAATTAGGGATTAGAAAAGTTTCACAGGTTTATTGCACATAATCTGCAGGATCTGGAACATACACAGTGTTTCCAGGATCTGTTGGGACTGTGTTCATTAAAAATTCAAGACGTGAATTATTTTCAAAATTTCACTCTTCTTATTCAAAATAGTCTCCTTCTGAATCAATACATATTGGCCTCCACGACCTGTTACAGGGTTACCTTTACTTTTTTTTTCCTTGGCACTGCAGCCCCAGTGGGCCTAGGCCTACCTCCATTAACTTCTCCGTTTACTTCGGTTTTTCTAGATTTTACACATTCGGTAGGAATCTTTGGGCGGGTGATCAGGTCGTCGCAAGGTATCTACCTGTATACAAATACAGAAAAACGCGCACACAAACTAAACATTCATGCCCTGAGTGGGATTCGAACCCATGATCCCGGTTTCCAAGCGAGCGAAGACAGTACATGCCTTAGACTGCTCGGCTACCGTGACCGGCACCTTTACTTTTACTATGTACATTTGTAGATCTTCATGGATCCTCTGGTTGTTTATGTACCAAGGTGCGTTCAGAATGGATCGGAGAGTTTTCGACCGAAAATGCTGGAGGAGTTCGATGTTGGAATTGGAGGCTGTCCCACATAGCTGGATTACATAGGTACACAGATTTGAGTACGGGTTAGTGTTTAAGTGTATAATTTAACGGCGCTCTTAGTGCTGAGACTATACAGCATCCATGAGAAGATGGCTAATGAATGTGGAGCAGTCAGTGGGATGGGAATTGACAGGGGAATCGTAAATGTTCGGAGAAAATCATTTTGTCCACCACAACCCACCTGGAATGGAACCCAGGCCGCCGCAGTGACAAGTCGGCGAAAAACAAAACATATGGAATTGCGTTGATTTGTAAAATGCTTAAATTATAAGCGACTGTTATGAAGAAGTAGCCACTGGTATTTCCCTTCGGAGGTATATTTTCACACAATTCACATTTATTTGCCCTTCATTTTTGATTACAATAATAAAATCGTCATCTCACTGTGGGATAACTTGCATGTGTAGTCACGGCAATTAATGGGTTAGTTTTTGTTACTGGGCATGACAGTAAGAAGCGTAAGCATAGGGAGTTGCCAATATTGTAACGCTCATTTTGCTGTTGAAAGCTCTGCCAAATTGTGGTCTAGAGCAGGCATGTCAAACTCAACTTGTACAGAGGGCCACCTCAGCCCTATAAATAATAGTCCAGGGCCGCACTTCAAAATAGAAATATACATTAGATTTTGATACAAGGAAATTTAATTCTATTTATTATTTAGGAGTAATTTCAATATAATTACCTAAAGTCACATATCTTACAGTTTTAAAAAGCAAGAAAATGCCATTTTTGACAAGTATCAAACAACTTTTTAATATGTAAAAAGAGAGATTACACAAGAAATTATGTTAGAAATAGCAAAACATTGAATTTCTTGCATCCTGCTAATTTATGTCTGCGTGAGACTTCTTGTCTTCTGGTCTGTTGGAAAGTTGTCTTTACAAAAATATTTCTACTAAAATTTTAATATTGATTTTAATATCAATTAGCTCTAAAAGTTGAGGGGAAGCACTTTGTGGCTATGGGGCCGCATGGGGCCCGCGGGCCGTATGTTTGAAAAGGCTGGTCTAGAGTATAGACATAGGTACTGAGGCCTTGTAATAACATAAAACTTGTATTCCCACTGAAAATTCTTACACAACGGTCGTCACCGTTTTCCATAGCATCATAGCCATATTATTCTGATTAGCTAACTGACTGTTATCTATCTAATCTATTTATCGATCTATCTAACTGACTAATTAATTATTTAACTAATTGCACGGAACCGAGCTCTTCTTGAGAAACCAACATTTATTTGGCCACTGAGGACATTTTCAGAATTTTGTGAAACTCGAAGTTTCATTACTTTGTCCATGAAAACCTGTCATTAATCTTTGTCCTGAGTTAAATAATCCAGTCAGTGCCCCAGCTCTATTGCTCTAAGATCTATTTGAATATTGTCTTCCCATCTACATGTACTTCAAGTCTTCCTACCAAAACACTGTATGTACTTCTCTTCTGTCATGCCAGATACATAACCTTCGCATCTCATCCTCTTTTACCTGATAATTCTAATTATATTTGACGAAGAGTACAGGTTGTGGAGCTCCTCATTATGCAGTTATCTTATTTCATTCCACTTGAGCCCAAATATTATCCTCAGCGCCCTCTTCTCAACTGTAACACTCCGATTATTTTATAAAAATAAATTTGAACCTGTTTCAAATACTAAATATTAAACGTACACTTCGTAAGGTCATGTTCCACTTGCAAGAGGGGCATAAATAAATTTATATTTGTTTTTACATATCCCTCGTAGAAATGGGTTTTAGTAACCGAGGTGGATGGAGCTCTGCCATGCCCAACCACGCAAACGATGTACATCCTTACTTTGAGGCGAGTGGTCACAGTGATCACCGAAGACACAGCACAATTTAAACAATCAGGCCGATCATTTGCCTGAAGTCAGTTTCTTATTCTTTTTTTTTTTTCAACAGGCAGACGTAGTTCTCGTGACGATGTCTCCGCGACGGGAAACATCTGTCGAGACACCCTGCTGATATGAAAGAGAGCATGTCAGCCCCTGCAACAACACCCTCGGAGCAACCCCCTCCCCCTGCACCCCCGCTTGAAATCACTGCCTCAATTATCACAACCAGCAGCCAGGATATTATCTCATCCGAGTCAGTGGTTCAGAGTTCCCATAAGTTGGACGATGGTGATGATGGATCTCCAATGCCCCCAGCACTGCCCCCAAGGCCCCCGCCTCGACCAAGACAATCACAGGGACGAGCGGCAGGGGCTGCGGCCCTCGCTCAACTTGCATCAGCTGACCAACTGGAGGAATTAGCCCCTGGACTGCAACAGCAGATTAGAGCTAGAGGTAAGAGATTTGACGTTTGTCTCTTCTGTAGAGAAATGTGAGATCAATCAGAGGAAACAAAACTTTGCTCATCGGTGCAAATTGAAGGGTGACGGCACCTCAGCTGGAACAAAATAACAGCGCCAGAGGCAGGAGAACTAAAAGCTACTGCCCACAAACTGACAGGTCCCGAGGCAATCCTCGGGCGTCGTTTTCTTAATGCATTTTCCGAAACTGAGAATCGATAATATGGCTCTTTATTCTGGAAGAAAGAAAGTGTGACACAGCTCAACAATATGGCGCAAAGTGCAGTTAATCTTAGGTGTCTTATAGTAGCATATATTGTACTTTCCCAAACTAATTTGTGAAGAAGTCTTCTATTTGTCCTTCCAATGTAGATGAGGATAGCTTCATAAAAAAATATCTAATTAGTTTTGTATTCAGGAAGAGTTCTATCTTCTTGGCTATAACGCCATGTAGTCATTTGAAAGTCAACCGACGTTTCGAAGAACAGCTTGGTCTACTTACTTCCTGTTTCACGCTGGTTTCTTGTTTGCCTTATTCTTCGACCCTGAAGATTGAGGAGGTGTGTTCCTCTAAAATGTCGGTTTACTTTCAACGGACTACATGGTGTTATATCCCAGAAGATAGAATTCTTCATGACCACCGCTGTGAGAACAGAAATCCTACACATTTTGGTGTTCATTTGCATATAAAGTTTGTGCGTCATGAAGAACCGCCGAAAGTGGACTGGCGTTCGTAACATCCCGAAGCGCAGTTTTCTACAAGTTTTCATACTGAAATTACTAGTAAAACATCACAAATACATATCATTTCTGTGATTATCTCTGTTCACTCAATAATATAAGAGGATGGTAATAAATTTTTATAGCCATCATCGGCAAAATAGCCCTTCATGAGCCACAGCCTTCCTTAGAAGATTCTGCAAGATTTGTATATATTTCAGAACAATAATTATTTTGAGCAAGGTCATCAGCCTTGCGTCCAACCACCAACCTGGGGGACCAGTCTCTGTATTCATGTTCCCCAGTGACAGGGTGGCCCAATTATACCCCAAGGCACTGGGTTCTGTTTTCGTCGCTTTGTACGACTTGCAGAGCTCCACACCAGGTACAATTTTTTCAATCTTCATATATAAGAGGTCACTTATAAGCTTCTGAAATACAGATGATCCGTCATTTGAATTTAGTCTGGGGTCTACATTGTTGACATTCACAAACTTTATGTTGCATTTAATTTAAAGTTAGCAAATCGCCGACTCCCTGTTGCTAACGTACTTATATTATGGAATTATCGAATTCGTTCCCAAGGTAAGTGTAGTCAAGGTCAGTCGTATATGAGACTGTACACATGTGCCACCATGTGCCACCCATTATTGAAACTAAATTTGCCATATGACTCTTGATTTCTGGTTTCGAAATTGCGACCTCTTGCTTATAGAGGCGACTGGCCTTCAAGAAGACACATGTCATCCACTGTGTAGAGTTAGAATTGGTAGCAAAATCAGGAACAGCAGATGTTTCAGTTCAAATTTTGGACATAAAAATAAGAATTCACGCATGAATATTCTGCGGCATCCTGAACTGAATCACACTATTCAGATAATAGATACTGAAGACTATTCTCTTCTTTGATGTAACGCCGTGTAGTTTGGTATTGGTACCGGCAATGTTGGGAACCTGCTAGTTGCTAGGTAGATGCTAGGATCCTTTGTGCTGTCTGTCAAAGGAAAGGCTCCGCATTTTGGAGACTCTGTTACCTGTAAATACATGATGGGTTACAGCAGACTCATCTCCAGTGGATTCCTTGGTTTCGCCCTCTCACTGTGAGGCCAAACCGGTTCCCTTATTACACAATGCTGTAAAGGAGGAGGCATTAGTTCGAATGACAGCGGAGAGCAACGTGCCAAGTTTTCAGCTTCCTGCTTCTGCCGTTACGCTGCAGAGTCCTTCGTGCGCTAGGAACGTGGCACTGCTGATGAGAGATTGTGCCCTTCTACCCGTGACTCTCTCTTGGGGCACTTTCTTGAGCAGGTTTTGGTTATCTTGCTTATAAAGAACTGACTTTACATTTTCCCTCTAGATAATTGTTGAGTCATTCAGATCTTGGGCGGTTACACCACGCGGATGTGGAAAAAGTTCCCTTTATTTCGGAGAGTCATGATGCCTCCATCTTCATGGGCGAAGTGTGCAGGGTGGATAGTCTAGTTACTGTGTGTGTGTGTGTGTGTGTAGATTTATTTCTCAAAAAATCACGGGGATGGTAAAGAAGGAAATTTGTGCAGGGAAAGAACAGACTTTGTTAAGGGCCACGGAAATACAAAAGAATATTCTCCCAGTAAGAACAAAACCTTATTCTTTATAGCTTTCATTGTGACGCAAGCGCAGAATTAAATTCCTACGACCTACAGTCGAGCGGCAAATGTTCCCGCTTCCCTGGCTAAACGATCATGAAGCTAGGGGGAAAAACGCCCTGTCGTGTAAGCTGCACCATGAACACAGACAGTTCCAGACAATACAGAAAGCTTTTGTTGAATGGGGGAGTAAAAACAGTGTTTACATATTCCTCCAATTTTGTTAAGGGGTGGGCATGTGGTAACAGTTGGTTGAGGCACTGCTACGAGTCGGAAGGTCGCGGGTTAGATTCCCGATGAGATCACTGGATTTTTCAATTTACCTAATCCTTCCAGCCGCACTATGGCCCTGGGGTCAACTCAACCTTTAACAGAAATGAGTACCAGGAATCTTCCTGGGGGTAAAGGTCGGCCGGCGCATAAAGCTGACAACCTCATCGCCATCTGTGAGTCGATTGTCTAGAAAATGTGAGAGCCTAGATGTCTGACAACCCTATGGGCCTCCACGCCTTGTTACAGGGATACATGCTCTTTTACCTATTTCCAGTTTTGGTGTTCTGCTGACGCAGTGCCACCGAGACCAGACCGTTCGCGATTTCCTAACTTCAACTTTCTTTAAGCTCCAGCGAAATATTAGCCTCTTATGTAGTCTGAGTTTCAAACGTGGTCTCTTTTCGCCAATTTTACCCAGGAAGTCTTCCTGAAATACTGGGGATACACATGAAAACCCTAAAGTCTGGAAATCCAAACTTTGAACCTGGTAACATTGGTTATTCTAGCGCTAATACACTCTGTTTCATTTTCAGAAATCAGACTACAGAATCGATCATTTTAATTTAAAACAATGGACTACACAAGTAGCGTAATCATGCGGGTATCGCTAGAACTAGCAGTAGCTGGCAAGTATTGACAAGTGAATGCAGAGTATAACTGCGACGTCGCGACGGTGCAATGGGGCGTCGTCAGGCAACTACCGTGAGATGGCCGCTCGTGTATTGTAAACGTTAGTGTAATATGGCATGTAATAAGCAGGTGTCGTGTTCGACGTTCGCCAGTTTGAATAGAGCCGGCTTGAAGAAACGAGAAGGGAGCAACCGCATCATTGCAGCTGGGTTATCAGCGCCAGATTGGTATAAAAGCGACGTTATAATTGAAATGTATTGTACGGTAACACCAAACAGGCATGACAGAGCACAAGTTGTACGGTATTTATATTGATAATTTCACTTTCATTGCTGGTCAGTCTTATTAATGAAGTGAACAGTGCAATCTGTGAACGATTCTGCGCATTATAGTGAATACATTTAATTAATTACACCTTAACTTCCGTCAAAGCACGTACATCTGTTAGCTTGGATATATTCTGTGTTTTGTAATGTAGATAACTCAGATATCCATGGAGAAAAGAGTGAGCAGTGGCATTTGAAATTACTGTACAACTATAGTCATCTTAACTACTCGTATATTCAGAACTGAAATTAAATAGACACGGGGGTAAATCATAAGATTATTTATAGCTCAATTATAGGGCGTAGATATAATTACAGTTCATATTATTAGGGCTTAATATTAATATTCATGTAATTTTCAAAATTAATTTAGTAGCGTAGTTGGTAGAGGGTCTGTGCTACAAGCCGGAAGGTCGCGGGTTCAAGTCCCAATGAGGTCATTGGATATTTTTCAGTTGACCTAAACCTCCCAGCCGCACTAGGCCCTGGGGTTTACTCAGCCTCTAACAGAAATGAGTACTAGGAATTAATAAAATAATTTTCCTGGGGAGTAAAGCGCGGCCGGCGCGTAAGGCTGACAACCTTACCGCCATCTTTGAGCCGATTGTCTAGATAATGTGGGACCCTCAACGTCTCACAATCCTATGGGCCTTCATGGCCTGTTGCAGGAATAGCTTTACTTTTACTTTACTATGACTTATATATGGAAATAAAATAGTCTGTGTTAGGCCAACACATTGATTAACTATGAGTATATTAATACAAATTCTATAAACCCATTTTAAATTTAATACTTCAAGTAAAAAACAGTTATTTTACATAAGCCATGTGAGCAATTTACTGCTTTCTTCTTAACTGATCTCATTTTACTGAGCAAAAGCTACACGCTTTTGTTTTGAAATTTCTTGTGGCATGGCACACAGGTACAGAGAAAACTGTACCTTATTCAAATTAATTGGAAGTTAATTAGAAATTTCATATGAATCTATTTACAAATTTAGTTTTGTAATTGTATCTTTCATTTCGTGTGTATTTTGAAAGGATATTTCCATCCAGCGCAGGTTTCCTGGGCTGACCATTTTCTTCTTTGTGCACCGCCTCATTATATAGACAGTAAATTAATTTCGGTCTAAAATTTACTGCCGAAATTTTGCTATTCATTTAGCTTATGTTTAAAGGGAACAGAAAACGTTGTAATAAGTTTTCATCAATTGCACGGTAAGATTACGGCAAAATAGTAAATAAAATAAGGCAGAAAATGCAAATAAATTAGCATTAACCGAATAGGAACAGAAGAAGTCATAAATATGCGATTAATTCAAACAGTATGCTATAAAATATATGTTAAATAGTAAAATTAAATAAACATTACTGTAATTTCTTTGAAACAGTGAATATAATTGGCCGGACAAGAACAA